CATTAGCCCAACTGTCTTATTTTTCTAATTTGTTTATTTTATAGGGTGTTTTGTGGATTCAGTTGCACTTAGAACATTTTTTATCCATTCGTTATATTTGATGATTGTTTACTTGAGTGCGTATTAGAATTAAATATTTTTTTTTTTCTAAGTTTATTCAATTTGTAATTGGTCTGGAAATATTTATCTTTAAGCTCATAGGATGTTAAAATTTCGATAGGTTTGCAGTCAATATTTGATTGTCTTGTCCATTAAAGGTGTGCTCTTTAAATCAGTGAATTTGACACGACATGAAAATTTGATCCGAACTTGACCCGGAAAATTCGGGTTGGACCCGACCCGTTTGATAAACGAGTCGGGTTCAGTTTTGCAGATTCGACCCGTTTGATAAAACGGGTCGGGTATGGGTTGACCCGGGAACCTGCGGGTCAACTCGAATTGACCAGTTTATATTTTGTAATCCCGAATTTTCGATTCCCGCCTGACTTTCATGTGTCCTTCGCGTCTGTCCATCGCAGTCAACCCATCTCATTCGTCATTCCGTCGCGTCTGTCCATCGAGATCAACTCATAATGCTACGTCGCCGCCAGCTTGGGCCAGTCGGCAGTGGCGTCCGCGCCACTCCGCCGAACATCCGCGTCATCGCTGTCACTCCTCCTAGCATGATGTCGCCCAGTTTTTGAATTAAACGGGTTCGCGGGTCGGGTCGGGCCAACTCGTCAACCCGTGTGGGTCAGGTTCGGGTTGACCCGTTTACACCTGGGTCAAGTCGGGTTCGACCTGAACCCGACCCGTCGACCCGAATTGACACCCCTATCAGTGAAGACCACAAATTAATTCACATATAAATCCCAATTTTTCTGCATGGTAGCAATGTTTGAAATTGGGTGTTGAGATGTTTTTCATCCGAGAGGTGAGGTTTAACCCTCAAAATTTTAAATTTGTGTGAAGTGAATATTATAAATGATTTTTTTTTAATAATCAAGCAATATTTAAAGGATGATATAAAAAATAAATTGGCATATATGAAACACAAAATGTATAATACGTGAAGGGATAATTAATAAATTATGTGAAATAGAATTAAAATTTAGATATCATAATAAAATAATAATATAAAGTATAGTATTTGTATAATCATATCAAATGCAGTTCAACTCAAAATTCTATCTGCCCAATTTCTTACTCATTGATATTTACTTAAAAAAAAAAGAAATAGTAATATTATAACAGCTCATAAGTCATCGTTGTTGTTATAACCAAGGGGTTTTTCATTAGAATTATCGTCATAATAAATTGCTCTCTCCCTTGTTTCATCACCTATGGATTCTAGTTCATTTCAATCTATTGCAGTTATCTTAAGTTTTTTAAATATTTTTTATCAATATAAAGATGAGCAATAATCCAAATAAATAAGCTTTAAAAATCAAAGGGTTAAAGAGATTTTATATTAATTTTCTATTTTGTTCTTTTTATTGTTTGGTTGTGGTGGATATAGATGCTCTATTTTTATCACCTTTAAAGAAATCAATATTCAAAATTTTCCCTCAAAATTCAATTGGTGTTGTCTTCATTTCATCATTTATAAATCACTCATCACCTGATACAATATCTTCACAATTTAAAGGGTATTAGTCATCATTCAACTCTTTCTTTTTCAAGCTCCTATCTTTTAAGTCTATAATTACCCTCTTCTCTTCCAAAGTTATGAATAGAGCTGTCAATATTTGACCCGACCCGAAAACCCAATTTGAAAATTTTGGGTTCGGGTCAACCCGAACCGGGTCGGGTTCGGGTTAGGGATTTTGACCCGTTTGTAAAACCGGGTCGGATTCGGGTTGACCCGGAAACCCGAAATCGACTCGATTTGACTCGTTTATAATTAATTTAGTAGGATTTTAAAGGATTTTTATGAAATAAGTCAATGATATTTCTAAAAATGATAACATTGTTGCCCAAATTAAATTAATCTTGATTTATTTTAAATTAATTGAAGTAAATCTTACCTTAATTTGATTTAGATTTAAATAAATTGAATTAAATAAAAAAAATTAATAAAATATACCTGAAACGGGTCGGGTTCGGGTTGACCCGGACCCGAAGCGGTTCGGGTTCGGAAAACCAACCCGTTTGCAAAAACGGGTCAGGTTGAACAGTGTCGGGTCAATTTCGGGTTGGACCCGAACCCGACCCATGACCTGTTTTGACAGCCCTAGTTATGAATAATCATTATTGCTTCATTTATAACATTATATATGAAGTTCATATCATGCTTCTTCTCGACATTAACCATCCTTAAAACCTACATTAGTGATTTAGTAATTGTGATAGTATACATGATACTTTGTCAAAATTTGTTATTTGAAATAATCTTTTTAACCTTTTTTCGCCTAATATTTTCTTGCCCAAGCATAACTCAGCCAATGTGTAGATATGAACATAGTACTGTCATTGCCTGTTATCACTTGAATTATTAAGTGCTTTCCAACTTCCTCAACAACACTAAAAATTCAACATCTTTAACCTAATCTTCACAAAGCTTTGTTTGTGAGGGATATCAATCTTTCATATCCTTCTCCCTCTATGGATTCAGATATTTATTTGTTTCAAAGGAACTTTATCCTTCTTGCTCAGTTCATGGGTGTAGAGCTCTTAACCAATCTAAATTTTGAATTGTGTGTTTTTTGTCTCCTTTGATGATCTTGAAAGGTTAAATGAAACCATTGGGCATTAAGATGGGAAATTTTCCTTTCACCTACCTTGTCTTAGTAGGCTTCTGGCAAAAGTCTATGCCATTTTATTGGATATCCTGCATGATTGGTTAGCTGGCTAGAAAGTTTGGGTCCAGGCTTAAATCGATCAGATCATCCATCAATGAGTATCTTGCTTATTGGTTAAGATTTAAGCTTTGTTTGGGACGACTTTCCTACTGCTTCTTTAAGCAACTATGGTCTATACCCTTAATTTAAAATGCAACATGAACATGGCTTGAAAGACCCTTTATCATAATAATTTGCTATCCTATAGTTGCTTAGGTTCTTATGGCTAGGGGTATCAATTCGGGTCAACGCGTTAGGTTCGGGTCCAACCAGAGTTGACCCGAGCGTAAACAAGTTGACCCATATCCGATTCATTTAGATAAATGGGTCACGATTTACAACACAAACCTGACCCGCGCGGGTTGCCGGGTTGACCCGATCCGCGATTGAGTAGAGCCTTGGAGAACCGCAAAGTTGCGAACATAACTAGTGAGGTCGGGGTCGCTGGGTCGACTGACAATGCCGGCAAGTTCCACTTCTACAGGCAGTGGGAGATTGGTGATTGGGCAGATGTTGGGTCTCATGACTTGCGTTCATGACGACTCGTGCGAGTCTTGCAGTTGGCAAGAGGACTGGAGGAGGCCGGCGGGCTTGCAGGGTCGATCGTCGAGCACAAGCCTTCAACCATGCGGTTCGTGGCGTCGGTGACGAGTGGCGAGGCGACTGTGCTAGATGGTGTAGACTTCGCTGCTTAGTCGGTTTAACCGGGTCAATCCAAACCCGCCTCATTTTTCAAACGGGTTAGAAATTCAAACCCAGACCGGACCCATTTCGTAAACGGGTTGACCTGAACCCAAATTTTTTCGGGTCGGATCACGGGTTATGTCAACTTTTGACATCCCTACTTAGGTCTCCATTTGATCCAAAAGTCTATCTAAAACCTCCCCCATTTGGAAAGAAGTTCAATCTGCTTCTCTTTAAATGAAAAAAGAATTGCAAGAATGGCCTCACTTTCTCATTATTTCTTGACTCATGGTTGGATGGGCTCATCTCCCTTACATGATTGGATGGTCTTGCAAGTTATATAAAATCTCAGTGCTTGACTTTTTTTTTTTTTTTTAATATATTAATGCAACTTGCAAGCTTTGTGGATGGCCTAACTTATTACAAGTGCTCCAAGAGACTTCTAGGCTGGACAGCAATACTTCTATTCTCTGTTAATAACAACTATGCCTCGACGATTGTTATTAATGATGAAAATCAAGCTTCAGGTGCCTGTAAACTTTCAAAATGGATATTTAAGGATGTCTGGCCTCTTGAGACCAAAAATTTATTCCTCCAATGGGTCCTAGGTGGGAGTAATTATTACATCCGGACAAAAACTGAAAATCCGGACGTATACCGAACAATACCGAGTACTCAATATCGAGTTTCAGATGACATGGCCCGTGATTATTGGTCTCTAGACCCAGTCCATGTTCTAATTTTTTTTTTTTATATATAATCTGTTTCAGCCTAGGCCTATCAGGTTTTCTTGCCTCATTATACTTGATGGATTTCTTCTCTGTGTCTTGCTGGTGTTGGTGGATGGCTGGTCCCCATTTTTCTTGCATTGTCCTCCAAGCATCTTTCTGTTTTGGTTATTTGGTCTCCTTCTTAGGAGAAATTATTCTGTGCGGTCACCGGATCGTCTGAAAGTAAATCAGAATAAGCCAGATCACCCGATACTCAGCATTGATACATAACAAAAAAGTAACGTGAAGTGCTTTGATTTGCCTCCGAATGTCATCCGGTAACCACATAGAAAAATTTTTCCCTTCCCTAGATGTTCATGGAGAAATTATTTCGTTGGGAGTTTAGGCATCTGGACTTCCAATTAAATAAAGACACGAATTTTTTTTTTTATGACCTGTCGACTCAGCCCGACCCAATATATATATATATAGTCTGCACATAATAATTTTTACGAAGGTTTTCTTATTAAAAAAAGAGACTTTACTTAAAAGCAACTTTTTAATAATTTTTTCTATTAAAAAGCTATTTTTAAGAGATCATATATGGAAGATTCCTCTCACCCAGACTCGAATCCCCTAATCTGCCCCCAAAAAAATTATTTTAAGTAGTAAGAAAGTATATATATATATATATATATATATATAACCAGAAACATCAAAACATAGTCATAAACTAATAAACTACTTCCTTAATAAATAGTTGCCTCTATGTTTACAAAAAAAAAAAGAGAGAAGGAAGAGCAGCAGAAAATCCCACATAAAAGAACAAAAATCCACTTCTCATTCTCACCTACACCACCTCCCCTCCATCCATCCATTCAAATTGAATTCCTTCTTTATGTTCTCATTACACATCAGAGTCTCTGCCAAACCAAGCAATGGAGGAAGAAGATGAGTAGCAGAGAGCTCATCATAACAGGATTTGGAATAAATGAAGCAGCACTGCCATCAATGCTTGTGGTAGTTCCAGAAGGGCCAAGACCTCCCAAAACTCCTGTTCCAGTTGAGGTTGGAGTCAAGCTTCCTGTTGAAGAAGAGGAAGACCCTGGGTTTTGTGTTGAGGAGCTCCCAGTTGCTGCAGCACTGTTAAGAATAGAAAAGTGTTTACTCCTTGTTATGAAGATTGTCTTCTGTTTGTGGATACAAATTATATTTGCTATTTTATAACTAATACAGTCATACTTTTGTAAAAAATCCTTAATAAATTAAATAATTATAACACTTCTTCAAAAACATATCAATTTAGAACAAAAAACATACTTAAAATTGTAGTTGACACCAAGCTTTACTTAAACAAGTTGTAAATTGTATTGCAATTTTACTGACTGAAAGAAGAAGAGAAAGAAGGCATCAGGGAAGATTATATATTGTGAAGCAATTCCCAATCAATCTATGATTTTGTTTGTTATAGTTTTCTTAGGGGGTGTTTGGTATAGGATTGGATTCAATTTAGTAGGATTTACTAAATCCGGATTTAGTAAATCCTAAGCTCATAAATCCTGAAAATTGTTTGGTATGACAAATTTTAAATCATGTTAAATCCAGAGAAGTTGTTTGGCAGCAAATCGCGACACGGGCACCGCGGGAAGAAGTTCCGCAACTATAAATTGCGTTAAATTCGAATAGGAATGGGATTAGGATTTAGACATTTATGCAAAAATCCATGATTTACGGATTTGCCGGATTTACAGCGACACGGATTGCATTTGGCTGGATTTACGCTAAATCCTACTAAAAACGACGGACAAATCCGATATCAAACACCCCTTTAATGTTTTACGAAGTGATTTCTTAGTAAAAAAAAATTAATTTAAAATCTTGGTACTAGAAAGCTATCCCAGATTATTTAAAAGTAGGGGAACTGAAGACTGAAGAAAAAAAATTTAGAGCTTGGGTCCCTTCCAAAACATTTTAGGTGCAAAAATTGTCATTAACTTAACCAAAAAACAGAAGAAAACTCCAAGAAAGTGCAATTATTCTGTCAATATACATGTTGCTGATAGCTAAAAGAATTAAATGAATCAAACTTTTGGACAAGAAGTGGACAGTCGAGAAAAAGACCTTTTTAACACAAAAAAAGTCTAAAATTTACCTAGGAGTTGCAGGGTAAGTGCAGCCATTACTACCTGCAAGCAAGATAGAATTAAACCATGATGGCAAATTGGGTTTTCCAACCAAACAAGACAGAAAAAACAAAAAGATCTTTGGATCCTTACTTGGGTCAGTTTGTGTAGTGAGAGCAGATCCTGTGAAGTCACAAGATCCCTGAGCCTGACCTTTCTTCTGGAAATAGCTATTGGCTGCATAGGAGCAGTGAGCAAGAACAGTATTTGGGTTAAAGCAAGCTCCATTTTGGAGAATAGGATTGCAATCAGCCCCAGCTCCACAAGCATAATCTAAGGTCTTTTGCTGGGCAGCGTTGCTCACATCACTCCTACAAACACACCAAGTGGCATCTTCCAAGGAGAAGAGAAAAGTGAAAAAGAAAAAGAAAAAGAAAAAGAAAATAAGATTTTTAGCACTGTATCTCATAGATGGTCATACTTACAAATGCCAAGCAGAAAAAAAAAATCTCATCATCATTTGGTAAAGTTGAAGGTGACTTATCAATCATCATTATTTGTTAAAATTGTTCTACTCAAATCCTTTTGAAAGGTTATCTATTTCCTCTGAGAGAAGTTTTCATTATTTGGTAGATGGAGTAAGGGAAAAAGGCCAGAAGAAGAAGAAGAAGAGAAAAGAAAGCTTTACAGCAAAAGATAGAGCAACAGAAAAATGGGATGATTCAGAATGCAAATAAGTTCAAAACGGCCCTTCACTTATTTTTTAACCCCTTTCCCTCATAGTTCTTCTAGGAAAAAGATTCTTCAATGGACTAGAAAATTTATTTTGTTCTAAAAATCTATGTGTGTCACACATACACACATACATGGCTTTCTTGTAGTTTAGCAGAAAAAGAAACAGAGAAAAACATTTTGATTTGCCTTTCAGTCTCTCATAACAAGGGAAGAAGAAAAACCAAAGAGAGGAAAATCTCTCTGCAATAGAAAATCAAATAGTTAGAGCTTACCAGCCAGACTAAACATGGCCAGAAAGAGCACTGCGAACACCAAAGCAGCCATGTCTTGTAAATCTCAGCTAGCAGAGATGAAGGGGATGAAGCACAGAACCGCAGAAAGGAAGAAGAAGGGGAAGAAATCCAATCCAAAGTGGCAACGAGCGTTTTGTTTGGCGTCTGAGAAGCGAAGGCACCAACTTTTGAAGTGATATAGCTATGTTAACTGTGCAATAGACGTTGTGGCTGTCTGTATCTGTAAGTTACAGCCTTACCCAACATTTTATATAATATTATTTGATGTACCATTTGGCCTCTTTTGAAGGCGTGGCCTTGAAAAGTGAGCTCTGGTAAGGTCTTTTTTAAACGGTCGTTAACTCATATGACTGGTTAGGAAGTTCGTTCAGGGTTAACTTAACCACAGTGATGGGTTATGGGTACAGTTTGATTGCCATTTTCTTTCAGGAAAATAATGAATGTGCTGTCACTAAGGGGCCCTCCGACCCTGCCAAGCTGTATTTAGCAATCAAATTTTGGATCTTGATTCTGTTCCACAATGTGGGAAGAAAATTAAATTTTCCATTGGTTTTTTAGGAATAAGTAAGTAATAAAACATGTTGTCTTTGTGCTTCATAAGAGCTGCTTAGATTCTCCAGTTACAAGTCTGTTCTATCAAAATGGGTTAATAGGTCGGATTTGGATTTGATTTGATATTAACACGGTTTGAATTAAGTCAATTTGAATCTAATTTGTTTAATAAACGAATAAAAAAGGGGATTTGAATCCGACTCGATAATTCATTTTGATTAATTTTTTAATAATTAATTCATTATAGATTTTTTATTAATTGAAAATAAAAAGAAGTAATATACCAAAGAGCGAAGAATTTGCTAATATTATAAAGTATTAGCAAGAATAATCACCGCTAATAACCATCATCAGTAATTGCCACTGACAACTACAATTGTCGTCGACAATCACCATAAGTAATTACCACCATCTCCAAAATTCTGACAACATTTAACTCGTGGGTATAACGGCCACCTTGTGGGCACATATTTTTTATAATTCCTAAGAAATCAATCTTAAATTTGGCAGCTAATTATCTATCTATGCACACATGATTTCTATTAACCCCTTTAAGAGAAATGAGACATCTTATTCTCAAATAATCATCTTCTTCTTAAAGGATTCTTGTATTCTTGGATGTGTAGTGGATTTTAAGATTTTTTCTCTCACGCAGGCCCTTTATTATTTTTTTTTTACTTTTTTTGGATTTTTCATGTAAAATTAAATAATTCTGATATTTATATTTTTGTCTATGATGCAAAATTTTTGTGCAATACTCATACTGCAAATAAACATACTATCGTTCACATCTTTTAGTGCATATATATATATATATATATACACACACACACACACACACACTTTATCAAAAAATTATCTAGATCGGGCACGAATCTCGATGGAGCATAGGTTGCGGCGTGATATTAATGTTTCTCAAAATCAATTTGGATTCATGCCGAGTAGGTCGACTATGGAAGTCATACATTTATTAAGAGGTTTGATGGAGAAATATAGAGTAAATAAGGAGGATCTACGTATGATATTTATTGATTTAGAAAAAGCATATGATAAAGTTCCAAGAGAAGTGCTATGGAGAATTCTTGAAAAGAAAGGAGTCAATAATGCTTATATTCAAATCATTGAAGATATGTATGCAAAAGCTATTACTTGTGTTCAAACACAAGCTGGATTGACCAAGTATTTCCCTATTTCGGTTGGATTACATCAAGGATCAGCCTTAAGCCCATATCTTTTTGCTTTAGTCATGGATGTTCTCACTAGACATTTGCAAGAGGATGTACCTTGGTGTATGCTTTTTGCTGATGATATTATTCTTGTTGACAAGACTAGAGAGGGAGTTGAAGTTAAACTTGAATTATGGAGGTCAACCTTAGAGTCTGAAGGTTTTCGCTTGAGTAGATCTAAAACGGAATATATGAAGTGTAATTTTAGTAGTAATAGACCGAGTGTGGGGATTGTGACTTTGGGCGATCAAGTCATTAATAAGAGTACACATTTTAGATATCTTGGATCTATTGTTCAGAGTGATGGTGAAATACATGGGGATATTATCAGCAGAATTCAAGTTGGATGGTTGAAGTGGAGGAATGCATCGGGCTTGTTATGTGATAAAAATGTACCCCTCAAACTTAAGGGAAAATTCTATAAGATGGTAGTGAGGCCTGCAATGCTTTATGGTGCCGAATGTTAGCCATTAAAAGAGAAGCATAATACTAAGTTAAGTGTTGCAGAGATGAGGATGCTTAGGTGGATGAGTGGCTTTACCCTTAGAGATAGGATACGAAAAGATCATATACGTGAAAAGGTTGGAGTAGCTCTAGTAGAAGATAAAATTAGAGAGAGTCGCCTTAGATGGTTTGGTCACATAAAATGGCGGCCTTCCGATGACCTAGTTAGGAGAGTAGAGGTATTAGATTTGACTTATGTTAAGAAAGGTAGGGGTAGACCTAAAAAGACTTGGTTAGAAAAATATTAGGAATGACCTTTCTTTATTTGATTTAAACGATAATTTGACTTTTAATAGGACACAATGGAGAAAAAGGATTCATGTAGCCGACCCCACGTAGTGGGATAAAGGCTAGATGTTGTTGTTGTTGTTGGGCACGAATCTCGATGCAAACTCAAGTTGGAACTTCCGAAATTAAAATTGGGACCATTCGAACTCCTATTTTAGCAAACTTATAGTCGAACTGAATGTTTCAAAAATGTGAACCTAACGACACCAAATTCAACTCAATCCGAGCCAAAATGAGTCCAAATCAAGGACCTGAAGCACTGTTGGAAGGTTCAAACCACAATTTGGATTACCAAACGATTTCTAAGCATTTCGTGCTTATAGTCGAATCGAGCGGCTCGACGAGACAAATCCAATGAGCCTAAGATTGTCGAGTTCCGACATCACTAAGACCTTCAAATGTCTGATGAACGGTCCACAATCAAGAAATTCAATATCGGTCGTTCATCCAACCACTCCCCATTTGCCCTTGATCTCTCACCTATTTACGGGTCATGCCACTCCATAAATATATAAATAGACCCCTCATTTTTATTGAGGGGGGACTCAAGCAAGAAGAGAAGAAAGAAGCTCCTCCTCGACCATCGCCTGAGTTCCGCCGAACCAGCGCATGACGTCGTTGCTCTGCCGGACCACCACCTGAGGCCCTGAGCTCCACCGGACCACCACCTCCGCTGGATCACCACTTGAGGCCCTCACCTCTGCTGGACCACCGTCTGATGTCATTGCTCCGTCGGACCACCACCTAAGGCCCTGAGCTCCGCTGGACCACCACATGAGGCCCTCACCTCCGTTGGACCACCGTCTTACGTCATTGCTCTGCCGGACCACCACCTGAGGCCCTAAGCTCCATCGAAACACCACTTGAGGCCCTCACCTCTGTTAGACCACCGCCTGACGTCATTGCTCCGCCGGACCATCACCTGAGGCCCTGAGCTCCGCCGGACCACCACTTGAGGCCCTCACCTCATTCGGACCACCGCCTGGCGTTGTTGCTCCGCCGGACCACCACTTGAGGCCCTCACCTCAGTCGGACCACCGCCTGACGTCGTTTCTCCGCTGGACCACCACCTGAGGCCTTGAGCTCCGCCGGACCAACACTTGAGGCCCTCTTCTCCGCTGGACCACCGCCTGACATCGTTGCTCTGTCGGACCACCGCTTGAAGCCCTCACCTCCACCAGACCACCATCTAACGTTGTTGCTCCGCCGGACCACCACATGAGGCCTTGAACTTCGTCAGACCACCTGAAGCCCTGAGCTCCGCTGGACCACCAATTGAGGAGGCAATGTGCTCCACCAGACCACCACTTGAGGCCTGGAATTCTACCGGACCACTACTTGAGGTCCAGACTTTTATCGGACCACCACTTGAGGCCATGTGCTCCACTAGGTCACTACTTGAGGCACGGACTTCCACCAAACCACCACTTGAGGCCCTGAGCTCCACCAGGATAGCACCTGACGTCGGAGTTCTACCGAACTACCACCTGAGTCCCGAACTTCTACCAAACCGCCACCTGAAGTCCGAAATTCTACCGGACCACAACCTGAGAAGTGGACTTCTACCGAGACACCACTTGATGTCGAGAGTTCTCTCGGAGTATCGTCCTTCTACTACGGTCTTTTGGACCTATGTCTCCTACCGATTATGGTCCTTCCGACCTCCATCACCAGACAACGGTCTTTCTGACCCATGTCTCCTGCCTACTACGGTCTTTCAGACCCCTGTCATCTGCTGATTATGGTCCTTCCGACCTCCATCACGAGACAACAGTCTTTCTGACCCCGGTCTCTTGCCAACTATGATCTTTCAGACCCCTGTCTCGTGCAGACTATGGCCCTTCCAACCAAACAACATGTCTATGTTGATTATTGTAACTTCCACCATGTATTGCGCTCTATATGACGCGCATTTGTAACATCAAGCTAAGGCCTTCTCTCTAAGAAGGGCCTCATTTGTAATCGACTGCAAATACTAGTAGATTCATTCAAATTGGGTCAGGCCTCGTGGTTTTTCCCCCTTTTCAAGGGTTTCCTCGTAAAAACTCTAGTGCCTTTTATGAACGCTACTCTCTCTCTTATCTAATTGTGTGCTGGATCTTTGTGCAATGCTAAGGCGTTAAACTATATATTTCTCTATCGCCACGAATACTCAGGACGCAAATATATATATATATATATATATATATATATATGATTTAGGATTTATATATTATTTAATTTATGAATGAAATTCAAAGGAGATTATGATATATTATTTTATTTTTATATTTTAAAGAGATTATTGTTGCGGTTAAAATTTTTAATAACTTGACAATTTAACAAGTGAACCATGGTGCATAACTTGGGAATTTAAGGTCAAATTTCGTTAGATTTACAGATCTACCAATAGAATGGGTTGCGTAGAATGTAAATAATAATCCATTACTTTCTCAATTATTAATTAGGTGAATGGTTAGTTGTAAGTGGAGAAGGTTAAATATGACAAAATAAAAAAAGTGCAAGCTTTCTCTTAACTAAAAATAATATGCTCATTTTGTGATAAAATGGTAATGTAATAAATATTCAAATAATTCATTAATAATAAGATCGATGATAGTACTCATCTGAATATTCAGACTTAAATTTAATTAAGATATATTTTGTAATCATAATTTTTTTTAATTTATTGATTATAAAATTTTCTTATTTTAAGATAAATTTGATAGTTATATAAATTAAATTTAGATTAGAATTTCTAACATAATCTTTTTCTCAATAATTAGTTGTCACATACCATCATTTATTTAACTTCATAAAGAAAATTTTCATTTATATTTTTAGTGGATGTTTGTCATCCTCCACCACCAGCCAATTTCACCGCTCGCCGCCACTTGCCACCACTATAACACGTAGTCGCCTACTATTCTTAGTTTTGTCCATCATATTAAAATGCGTACAATCTAAATGATAAATTCATTACAAATGATTCGCATCCAACCAAAGAACTTATTTTACATTGCATTTAAAGCTTCCTCAAAATTCTAAACTCCTCCATCCAAACAGCATCTTAAAGTTACATACAAACAAACACTAAAAGCTTGATTTGGGATGGCTTTCTTATTGTTTCTTAAAGTAACTTTTTAGTATAAGCAATTAAAAAACCGTCCAAAAACGAGAATAATTATTACATGCGACGTCCGTAGGCGAATCTGGACGCGCCACATCACCCGGGGCCAGTGCATCCGGGTGACATGACGCATCCGAAATCGCCTCCGGACGCACATAATAATCTCCACAAACAAAACCTAAATGTAAACTTCAGGGGCTAGCCTTAGTATAGCTTTAGCCATCAATGGCCTTCTCTTGCGCATAGTTATCCCAGTACTCTCTTCCATGTCTACCATATCACCGTCCGCTAATGTCCAATCAAAAGAATGCACCAACGTCGCCGTCACTAAGTGGACCATACGAAGGCCCAGATTCATCCCTGCACAAATTCTTCGCCCTGCACCAAACGGTATAAACTCAAAATCCTTCCCCTTCACATCAACATTCTCATGTGGTGCACTCGGCCCAAATCGATCGGGCTTGAACTCACTCGGGTCATCGGGCCAAGAGACCGGATCCCGACCAATAGCCCAAACATTAACTAAGACTGTAGCACCTTTAGGAATCAGGAAACCATCGACCACACAGTCTTCAATCGCCATGCGAGGGACAGAGAGGGGGGCGGGAGGGTGGAGCCTGAAGGACTCCTTCACAATGCAATGAAGAAATGAAAATTTTGACAAATCTGATTCAGATATTAGACGATTATAACCAACGATGGAGTCGATCTCTTGCTGCGCTCGAGCAAGAAGCTTCGGATGGCGAATTAGCTCAGTTAATATCCACTCGATAGCTACAGAGACGGTATCAGTTCCTGCTATGAACATGTCCTGAAAAAGGATATAACATTGAATTGAGCATTCAAAATTAGGGCTGCAAACGAATCGAACCGAGTCGAGTATGTGACTGTTCATATTTGAGTTCGTTTATTATTAGATTGTTCCAGTTTGGTTTGTGCTTGATTCGAGTCTTACTGTTTATTTTCGTGTTTGGTTCGTTTAAATTAATGATGTTCATGTTTGGTTCGTTTAATGCTTATCGAGCTTTAAACAAACAAGTTTTAACGAGCTATGTTTGTGAACATATTTAGCGAATTTTTTACACTATCAAACAAGCACAGTCATGAACAATTTTAAAGAATATTCTTGAGCTATCAAATGAGCATGATCATGAATAAATACATAACAAGTATTTTCGAGCTATCAAATGAGTTGTTCACGAACAAGGATCTATGGTTCATTTTATATTTGTTCATGAATATTTTAAACAAACAGTCTAACAAATATTGACAAATGTGAAATGTCTCTTGTTCATGAATCAATTCATTCTATTGAAGGTATAAAATAAAATAAAATAAAATTATAATAAAAACAGTTGTCTATTTAAAATAAAAAATATATGATTAATCTATATGAATATATTTATTAGCTTATTCACAAATTCTAAATCGAACACGAATCGATCTCAATGTCGAACTTGTTCACGAGCTTCAAATGATATTGTTCTTGAACATAAATGAACAATACACATTAGTCTTCAAGCTTGTTTATTTAAGGACCGAGTATTAAAAATATTATTCAAGTTTGTTTGTTTAATTAGTTAAACGATTACAAACGAGCTTTAATCGAACCGAGCAACGAGTAGCTCGTCAAATATTTGGTTCGCTTGTAGCCATAGTAGAAATGATTATTTTTGTTATTAAGATGAATTTTAAAGATCATTCATTCTCTAAAATTAGAAAAAAAAAATGAAGAAAAATAAATAAGTAAATAATTACAAAACCTGGAGTAAAGCTTTGATGTTGATATTGGTGAGCTTATCCTCCTCCCCTTCTGCGCTTTCTTTCGTCTCAATAAGCTTAGTTAAGAAATCGTTAATGTGATTACGGCCCTTAAATTGATCATCTCCATTCATGCGGTGATGCTCCACAATTATCTTCTCTATAAAATCAGCAAATCTGCCATAACTTTTCTTTATCTTTTTAGTCAACCCCTAATACCAAAATTCGAACAAAAATACAATTAAAATGATTAGAACTTTAATTATGTGAGATAAGTTTGCAAAAAAATGTATAAAAGAAGGAGCTTTAATTAATTAATTGATAATTAATCGGATGCCTGGAGGTCAAGCCAGTCGATCCATGGCAGGAAATCTCCGATGTTAGGTTGTCCGGCGAGCCTGGTCAGCTCTATAGCCATCTCCTTGAACTGCAACGCCTCCTCATCTCCGGCAGAAATCCGGCGGCCAACCAGCACAAGTGACAAGGCATTTACTGCACAGATACTGACCATCTCGCCAACGTTCACCACCGCCTTCCTCCCGGCGAAGTCACGCACAAGCCTCACCACTTCGCCATGCCGCACGTCCTGGAACTCGTTCAGAGCCTTGTTTGAGAAGAGATGCGAAGAACAGATCTTCCTCATCATCCGCCATCGCCGCCCATAAGGCGCCAAAATGAGGTCTTGTGCGTTGTAGGCCATAAGCTTGCCGGTGGAATCTAGAGGGCGACTGCTAAGGTTGACGTCATGGTTGCAGAAGCATTTAGCGACTGCAGAGGCTGTAGATAGGACAATAACGTCGACGATTCCGAAGCGGAGGTGGAGGAGCCCATCACATCCATGAGATCTTGACAGGGTTTGAAGAGTTTGGTGCGTGGGATTTGAGCCCAGCTGAAACAGGTTGCCTAGCAACGGCCATCCCTTGGGTCCCGGCGGCAGGGGAAGGCGGCGATGTCGATCGGCGGTCCGGTTTAGAAAGATAAATGACAAGAGTATTGGTGCTAAGATTAAGCACAGGGTCAGGATAAGAATCATGATATCAAAATTTTTTTAGTTTAATTCATTGACCCTCATATGTGTTATAAATATGCTAATGTTGCCCAATACGAGTCGAGATCGAACACAGAGAGCCGTTCAATTTTATCTCTGCGAATGATAAAATGCAGACAGAGATAAACCAGACGGTTTCTGTATTCGATGTCCTCATCTCAACCGAACGATAGAGAATGATCCGTTGACAAATAAAATGTAAGTTGATTAGTTCATTATAATATCATAAAAATTAGTATATTAATTATTAAAATAATGATTTTTTATAATCCATGTCTTCTTTGACAACCTCTTTTTTTTTTTCCTAAATATATATCTGCCGACTCTTTCTCCATATATGATTTAAATTTTAGTAAAAAATTATAAAATTTATACACAATAGAAAAATTATTAGACAAGACAAATCAATATGAATTGACAAATCTATTTATTAAGACATTTGTTGCCAGCTGGAATATTCGTGGCATTAGAGTGAATTTTTCTCTTTAAGAGAGATAGAGAGCATTATAACATCATATCTTTTTTACGTGAAAAATCTTGTGGTTCTCGCTCTGGCGAAGAATGTGTATGAATTTCTTGATATATTATTATATCATGAAATATTTGGAATTATAAAGTTTGAGTAATAATAATTTAGGACTAGGGATCTCAATTGGCAAAGTTAAGCTTTTTTAATTTTTTTAGTAGCATATATAT